AAATTCTAGCCATGTATAAAACATGCTGGACTTTTTTCATAGATGAGGACATCTGGTAAACTTGGAGTAGTATCTCATCAATCATCACAACTTCTAATAGATTACAAAAATCATATTTAAAGTTTCCAGTTTCATAAGCAGACAATCAGAGGCACTGAATAGCCAAGTAAAATGGCTGACTTGCAATCACTGATTGAACCACATTCTTGAAGAAAACTCAGTCTTGTTTTATTCTACGTACCCACACCTCTGCCTTAAACACAAACAAGAGTGAATTAACAAAACACTAATATACTTCTCCTTTTACTCTAAACAAAACTTTATTAAGAGGGTAGGAGGACTGTAAATTAGACCTATTCATTCTTTCAACATTCTGGTCAGTTAATACCTGTAACTCACCCAGTCAAGGATGAGGGAAGCTACAGCACAGGGAAGCCTGCACTAGAACTGGGGGTCCTGATCCATAAGAGCCTTTATTCCCCTCAGGTTCCAATAATTGACTTTGGAACCAAGGTTCTGACCTAGGCACTTTGTTCCCAAGAGACAGAGTGGGGAACAGAACAGGCAGATGAACTGAAATACACTGCTGAGGGGAGCAGCGGGTGAGTCAGGAGAGTTCTGCTTTGCCATGTGGGTAGCTCCCTGGCCGGGGATCAAACTCATGCTGCAGGCCTGAGGATAGCTTCACAGGTTGCATCTTAACCCCTTGCACCACCAGGGTGGTGTTCACATTACATAGAAGAATATGAAAAAATAAATCAGATGGATAATTTCAGAACTAAAATTATCAATCAATTCTTAACATATAACTATGTAAATCTGGTTGTAGAAAACCATGTGGGGAAACCATGCAACATCCATTTGGGAAAATGGTTGTTTTAATAAGCCAACCATTGATTTGATATTAATAATGTAAAATGAAATGAAAGAAATAATGAATGAATGAATGAATGAATGAACAAAAGAAATGTCAAGCTTAAAAGTAAGCTCTACAATAATAACTTTAAGTAGTGAGTTTTTCAGCAGCATTACCTTAATTTAAAATCAGAACTTAAATGTATTCTTGTAACATTCTGTCATTCATCTTATTTAGTGTGCCAAACTGCCATGAGTATTTTGAATCATGGTTGTTTAAATTATGAAATTAGTTATACTTTTCTACTATATTTTTATAAACTGGAATCTTGAATAGCTGTCTCTTTTGTCATCCAAGACATTACACTAAGTGAAAATAGGCATAGTCCTGCAAATTGTTCTTCATTTCTTTCACTAATGGAATCCTACACACATCCTTAAAGACTCCGCTCAAATGTCGTCATTTCTATCTCATCACTATTATTTGGGGGACACAAATGCATAAAATAAACACATATAGACACGCACATTAAAAAAAGTAAGATCTACACCTAAACTATGACTGATGGTGAACTTGGAGAACACAATGAAGGGACATGGGAGAAATTTAAAGCAAGAAAAGGTAACAACTTTGAAACTAGCTAAACCTAAGGTGTTAAGAGACTTAGGTTTTTTTTTTTTTTTTTTTTTTTTTAAGATTTATTTATTTATTTATACATGCACTGGGTACAGTCAGAAGTGTGGGAGGGTGAGAGAATTCACCAGAGCCAGAGCAGGGAGCAGAGCAGGCAGAAGGACCGAAGTACACTGCTGAGGGGAGCAGCGGGCAGCAGGAGAGGTCTGCGCGCCATGTGGGACCCTCCTCTGGGGCAGGGGAGCAGCCGGGGATCGAACCGACGTCGCAGAGGCTTCGGGCAGCTTCGCAACCCAGTGTTCAACCGCTGCGCCACTGGGGAGGCCCGACTTAGGTTTCTTAATGCTGAGAAAAGTCACATGTACACAAAAACACAGGTCCCAAAAGTCAAAAAAAGAAGACAAGTAAAAACCGCTGATTAGCCCTGAATTAAGGACCTCATGAATTCTGGAGGGACAGAAATCAGAATAGCAGGCTTTAGAGAGAGCAAGAAGGAGACTCAGAATTGCAGCTGACATCTGTCTCAAACAGATGTCTTCTTAAACATGTCCCACAGGAACAGTTGCTTTATTATTTATATTTTGTTTTAAAATAATAACTTGAGATCTCAATTTTGCTAAAAGGTGACAGAATTAATGCATATTTACTTAATATTTACTTAAGTCCCTTCCTTTCAGAAATTTACTAAAATGAATAACTACAACCAAAAGTAAAGCCAGAAATACATCACTCATGGTGAAACTAGAAAGTCATGACAACTTCGTAACAGAAACCATAATGACTATCTACATGGGGAAATGCACACCAAGTCAAAAGCAGGATATACACCGCTAAGAAGGATGCATATTTCCTTTAAAAACTAATAAATAAGGGCCAGCCCGGTGGCACAGAGGTTGAGCCCTGGGCTGCGAAGCTGCCAGCAGCCTCTGCAGCGCTGGTTCCATCCCCGTTCACCGGGGCAAGGGTCTCACATGGCAGGCAGACCTCTCCTGCCATGCCCACTGCTCCCCTCAGCAGTGTACTTCATCAGTCTGCCTGTTCTGCTCCTTGCTCTGGCTCTGGTGAATTCTCTCACCCTCCATGCTTCTGACTATACCCAGTGCTTGTATAAATAAATAAATAAATCTTTAAAAAAAAAAAACAAATAAATAAAAGAATCCTAAACCCCAAATGCTGTTTTTAAAAATAGGAACACAAATTGCAAGCAATCAATAACCCATTAACAATAACTCAATAGATATTTACTGAGCACCTTCTATATTCCTGGTAGTTGAGGCTACTTAATACTATTTTTTTTCTGATCCAGTCACCTACACATGAAATAATATGGAGATGAAAGGGACAAAAAACAGAAGTAAAAAAATCAGCTTGTCTGAATAAGATGAACCCTACACAGTAAACAAAATGTCTTGACAGGAAGTCCTAGGGTGCCCCACTCACCCAGACCTCTGGGTAATGAAACACTGACATAAAGTACAGACTGGGGGTTCTCCCTGGTGGCGCAGGGGTTAAGACGCAACCTATGAAGCTATCCACAGCCACTGCAGCTCGAGTTCGATCCACGGCCAGGGAGGCGACCCACATGGCGCAGCAGACCTCTCCTGTCTCGCCGACTGCTCCCCTCAGCAGTGTATTTCAGTTGATCTGCCTGTTCTGTTCCCTACTCTGTCTCTGGTGCGTCCTCTCACCGCCCCCCACACACCTCTGGCCTGTGCCCCAGCTCTTGTATGCATAAATAAATAAATCTTTTTAAAAAAAAAAAAAAGTACAGAATGTGAAAAAGCCAAAGAGAGCTAGTGCCCCAGGACAGAAGGTTCATTATATGTAATGGCAAAGAATGTGAAGAGTGTATACCTGAATTGAGACTCCTTTTTGTCCCTCTGTCACTCAAACAGACAGAGGACTAAACAGTTGAACCCTCTACTTCAGAGTTTAGTGTACAATTTTTTTGTTTGCAAATAGAGTGGGAGAATAATAATTTTGAAGGAAAAACAGCCCCATACCCCACTTCTTTAGTAAGTAAGAGGTTAAAGAGGGTTAAAGGGGGCACATATCAAATAGACCCCTGTGCAGAGCTCACACCAAAAAAAAAGAAAAAGAAAAAAAAGAAACCCAGGAGGAAAAAAAAGGAAAGGGAGGATGAAGGGAAACTTTAACTCTAATAAATAAAAGGAAGACGAAGAATATATATTAGAACAGTCATTCCAAGTTGCACTTCTTTATCGAAATAATTTTATATAAATGTCTTCTCAAGACCTTGGCAATTCAAAGAAGACATGAATTTTGAAAAGCAAATATCAAGGGACAGACTTATGACCAGTGAAGAAATAATAGAAGATAGCATGGAAAAATGAGAGTAATAAAAATATCATATAATTAAAAACACATTAGTAGCAGTAAAAAGTAAGATCAGCACTAGTAAGAGCAGGGCCAATCATGGGGAGAACAGGCTTGAAGAAGAACATGGAATGCAAAGGAAAAATCTAAACGTGGCTGGAGATGAAATGATAGATATAAAATAAAGATAACGGACATTCAGCAGCTGAATTGTAGTCTTGAAGAAAAAAGGCAGAGTAAATGGAATGGAAAAATATTAAGAGTGATAACAGAAAATGATTTTCTGAAATAAAACAAGATAGGAACCAGCAGATTGAAAGGACTTACACACACTGTAAAAACTATTAGCAAGTCATTGAAATAGAAACATAGTGAGACTATTGAATTTCAAAGAAAAGGCCTACAAGTAATTAAGCAGAAGAAACAGAGACTCTGCAAATGAAAACAATCAGTTTAAAGCCACGCTTTTCAGCAATATTAAATGCCAAGAAAAATGGAGTAATATGTACAGACTGAAGGGGAAATATGTTAATTTTGTTAAGTACAGTACTCGGATTTCCTGGTCCTTCTTATAATCAGTCTTTTTAATAACTACATGAGTTATTTTTCAAAAAGTACATTTTCAAAATACCCCTGCAACATTTTTAATGAAGATGGAGTTAAACACTAAAGGGAACCTCAATATAGTTTTTAATGAAAATGGCATAAAGCAAATTTTCTGACCACAAAAAAGTAAAATTAGAAACCCATAACAGAGTAAAACCCAGACACTTAAAATTTAGTAGGATAAATTCTTCTGTACAACTCTTAGCTCAAAGAGTGACTCCACATACAAAAGCAGAGGAATTAGACATAACAAGGGCAACTCTTAAAACCTAAGGGGGAAACGAACACTACAACACAAGGAAAATCTATGATCTGAAACACATTTCCAAAAAAAAAAAAAAAGAATAAAACTTCACCCTTACACTTATGTTGGAAAAAAAAAAACAAAATATACAGAAGAATAGCATGAAAATTAACTTAAAATGAATAGCTAAATGCAGTAAAAATAAATAATTTTTTAACATTATGTTGTGGAAAAGAAGCCATTTTCCTACTAAAATGTCCACTTATGAGAAGTTCAAGAAGAGTCCATTTAATTTATGGCAATAGAAATCAGCTGAATACTTACCTCTTAGGAGAGGGAGCTGTAGAGCGGTATCCACAAGGAATAGATAGAAGAATTTTCTAGGAGTATTGAAAACTTCTGTAACTTGAACTGAGTAATGGTTATAAGGGTGTACATAAAGATAAAACTTCATTAAATTAAGATGTGTGCATGTTACACTGGTAAATAATAACACAACTGAAGAAAAATAAGTTTAACTTAAAATATAGTAATTAATGAACTAAAAAGGCAGTACTCAGTTATAAATATAAAGGTTAATGTTATAGAAGCAGGGCAGATAAATTAGGTAAACCACTACACTACTGAAGATTTTTTAAAAAGGGAAAAAAACACAAATACACAAATTTAAGAATGAGAAGAAAATATTCATTGATATAAGAAAAACTGAAAGAGTTTAACAATAATAGACAGTGCATTTTGTTTCTAAAAATATTGAAATCTCCTGCCCTATCAAAAAAAATTCAGAAAACCTAAACAAAAATATGGAAGAAATTGGGCCTCCCCTGGTGGTGCAGCGGTTGAGCGCTGGGCTGTGAATCTGCCTGCAACCTCAGCAGTGCCAGTTCGATCCCCAGCCACCTGCGAGGTTCCCACATAGAGCGCAGACCTTTCCTGTCACCCGCTGCTCCCCTCAGCAGTGTATTTCTCATCAGTCTGCCTGTTCTACTCCCCGCTCTGGCTCTGGTGAATTCTCTCACCCTCCTGCGCTTCTGACTGTACCCGGTGCTTGTATAAATAAATAAATAAATCTTTAAAAAAAAAAAAAAAGGAAGAAATTATAAAGTTTTCAAGGAGTTAATTCGTTAATTCTCACAAAAGCATTGATATCAGGCAGTGTCATAAATCTTAAAGCTAGAATAATTATTGTGCTATTTACCCTGTTTCTGAGTAAAAATGATAGATAGGCGTCAGATCACAGAGTCTGCATTCCCACTTAGAAAATAAAAAACAAAAAAGATGTATTGAAGACAAATAAACATTCACACATTAACACACACAAACAAGTGAAATAATCTAGAGTCTAAGTGTCTGCATAAGTGTCTGGAAGTAGCACAGATTCTGGTCTGGTGTGGCGTGACTTTCAACTCAAATTGTAGGAAGTACAAGGATAAACTGACATAAGATATACTGAGAATTGTCACTAATAACTCCAACCCACAGAGAGGCAAACTGTGTAACTGTGAAGATGTTCTTCAGAAAGACTTGGAGAAACCAGTTTTGAAGGAAGGAAAGCTCTCATTAGAGTTCTCCACATGAGCGGAGAGGATTGGCCAGTGCATCTCTACAGACCAGGGGAAAAGGCAAGAGGGGGCCTCCCCGGTGGAGCAGCAGGTTGAGCACCACGCTGCGAAGCTGTCCTCATAATCTGCAGTGCGGTTTCGATTCCCGGCCAGCCAGGGAGCTACCCACGTGGCGCAGCAGACCTCTCCTGCCTCGCCCACTGCTCCCTTCAGCAGTGTTTTCAGGCTGTCTGCCTGTTCTGCTCCCTGCTCTGTCTCTAGTGAATCCTTTCACCCTCCCACGCCTCTAATCTGTACCCCAGTTCTTGTATAAATAAATAAAAAATCTTTAAAAAAAAAATGAAAAGGCAAGAGGAGAGGTGCATCCATTAGTTCTGTTAGGACCAAGTTCTTGCCAGCAAGGATTAAAGACTTACAGGCTGGAAAACAAAAGAAAAAATTAACAAAATAAGGTCCTCTGAGAAAAGGGAAGCCAAAAGAACGAACATTGAGAGGCCCAGTCAAGGTCTCCCACTCATACCTCACCAAAAGGGAGAAAACCAATCTACAATGAACCATCTCTGAAGCTGGCAGATTTAGCAAATAAAATGACTTAGATACATTTATCTAAAATTCCAATTTCACTGGGAGTCCTCTATTCTAACAGGACCAGAATCAGAGAGGTGCACTTATGGTACACCCATGGTGACCAAGAAGACTGGGAACAGAATTGCTGGAAAGATGGATGATGAAAATGAAAGGAATCCAGGAGCTCTTCCTCCCTGACCGGAAATTCAGGTCATCATTGAAAAGTAACAATAAAATTAAATAAATAAAATAAAAAGAGGCTGACTTTAGACTTCACTGGAGCATCCGTGGTCAGCAGAGGTATTAACATATGCAAAGTTCCAAGGGAATGTGAAGAATCAAAATCCTATTCAGCCAATGGATTGATTAATTATATAATGTTCTCAACATAAAAGAACTCAGGAAGTGTAGTACCCACAAGGCTTTCTTGCAAATATCCCTGAACACTGGAAACAAGGCAACTAAGGTTAATAAAGAAAGCTTGTTAAAGGATCAATGGTAAGTACTAAAGATATTAAATTATGGTAATAAGACTAAAACAAACTTGAAATCATAAGTAAAGAACAGAAAGAAAGAAAAATAAATAAGACAACACTAAACTAATAAAGAAATAATAAGGTAAAGTAAAGAATTATTAAAATGCTATCAATCAGTATTATTTGGAAGTTAAAGGTAAGTAAAAGGTAGGCAAAAATGAATACAATAAACCAAACCTTCCATTTTTATGGAGTTATTTTCCTTAAACAATAGAGGCATCTTTCAGAAATTAATATTCTATAATAAAAAATTGTCATTGTTTCTGAAATGTCTCCAGTATTAGTAGTTTCAATTATTTGTTTTTATTATGTTAAAATGAAGTGAAATTTCTTTGTTATTATTTATCTAAAATAAATACTAATAAAATTTAATAAATGAAAACAATTTCATATGATCTCAAGTCTGCAAGATTAATTCCATCTAAAATTCTATTTATCCAACATAAAAATATTAATTGAGCACCTATTATGTTGTGAGCTTTCTGGTCCTTGTACACACGTATACATATAAAAACACATACATCAAGAGACAATCTGGTATTATGTCCATCTAATATTAACAATAACTACCTTTGAATAATTGAATTTGGAGTAAATCTCCATTTTGTTTGGTTTTTACTTGAATTATTTGTAAGAAATAGGACATATTTTTATAAAAACAAAATTATCACAGAACATGGACAAAGTTAAAAATAACAGTTAATTTTAAAAAACCAGCATGACACATATCAAAGACTGACAAAATAACTAAAATGGAGTAGAATTTCATTTGTGAATATTTTTTTAAAATTCCAAATAAAGTACAGTTAGAAATGACAATGAAAGAATAATATATCACAATCAAAACAGTTCATTCCAAGACTGACAAAATAGTGAATACATATTAATATACCCATCATCGTAATTTTTATTTTTTTAAAGATTTATTTATTTATACAAGAACTGGGGTACAGGTCAGATGCGCAGGAGGGTGAGAGGATTCACCAGAGACAGAGTGGGGAACAGAACAGGCAGACTGACTGAAATACACTGCTGAGGGGAGCGGCGGGCGAGACAGGAGAGGTCTGCTCTCCATGTGGGTATCTCCATGGCTGGCAGAGATTGAACCGGCACTGCAGAGGCTACAGGCAGCTACACAGCGCTGCGCTCAACTGCCTGCACCACCAGGAAGGCCCATGGTAATTTTTAAAAAGAAAAAATAAAAATCATCCTGTTAGGTACTAAATCAAATTTATAAAATGCATAATTCATTCCAAATATTAATAAATAATAAGCCACTAAGATACATAATTTCAAATTAATAAAGCTAGAGGGAAATCAGAACACTAAGATGTTCCAGAAGTCAAGTGAAGAAACTACTCAGGAAAAAAGGGATGCATTCTGTTGAATGTTGCTGAGAGTGATGGGAAATAAAAAGTGAGAAAGAACCATTGGAGTTGAGGATATGGAAATCACCGGGTATCCTGACAATAGCTCTTTTCTTGTGATATTAATGGGGATGAAATTTTGATTAAAGTATTCAAACATGATTGCAAGAATTAAAAATGTTGATAGAGTAAGCATGGACAATCTTTGTGAAGACCCTACTGTGAAAAGAAAGAGTAACATGAGATCATTGCTAAAAGTGGGTGTGTGGGGTGAAGGAAGTTTTGCTTGCTGCTTTAAGATAGGGTATATTCTAACATGTACGGTGATTCCACAGAAAGGAGAAAAAGTCCTTCAGACTATCCCCCTTTACTGTTTTATTTTACTTCCTTACATTAACATGTAAGAAACACACCTTACACATCGCCTACTTAGTTTTCTTGCTTATTCTCTATCTGCTTCAGCAGCCCCTAAGACCCACAAAGGATATTGCTACATTCGCAGCAACTAAAAAATGCTTAGCACATAGCAGTTGATCAACAAATACTTGTCAAGTGAAAGACAAAGTAAAGGAAAGAGCAAGTTCTTAGTCAAGAAAGCTGCTGCAACTTGCCTAGTCATCAGAGAGGGAGCCATCGCCCTGCAGTATGAATAAAAGTTCTCTAGTTGTAAGTAACCAAAACTGACTCTGATCTCTTAGCTGTAGAAGGAAAGCTGATCCACTTAAACCAGGATTACAGGAAGAAGAGAGAGCAAGAGCAAGAGAGAGAAAGAGAGAGAGAGATTCAAGTCCTGTTTATTTTTAGAAGGTATAGTAAATGAAATTATCCCACTGGACCTGAGAAAACTTATGCCAATAGAGTTGCTGGCAAAAGAATGATCTACTGCTTCTTGCCTCTGCAGCAGAATATTGGGGCAGAGCAATCAAGGAACCTGTTTAACTTGGATAGTTTTATAACAAGCTGTGTACCAAAGTCTTCTCAAATGTAAGAGCATTTAAAAGCCCCTGCACACTATTTAATACTAACTCTGTGTTAAGGAACACATCAATTTCTAAAATACTCTTGGTTTTGATCCTGATGTTAACTTAATTAGCCATCTTTTCCATCAGTAAAGACCTTAAAACTCTACTTCGACTCTATATTTGGGCTTCACTGTTTACACAAACTTAGCTTCTATATTTAGGACAGCTAAATATTTGCCGTTAGATTATCTTTGCAGATCAGAATCTAATTTCTCTGGACTTTAACAAGATCATGGCTTCCACCAGGAATACTTACAGAGGTTTAGTTCTCAGGCCCTCTGGATATTAGCCTTCAGAAACCTTAAGAGACTAAGGAAAAACGAGTTCAAATGTAAATTCTATGAAAGCCTAAGGGTTTCCTCATGTAGAGTAAAAAACAAACCAGAAAAATGGAAAATCATCACGTTCATAAGTTCTGGGAGAAAATAATAAAAAAATACTGTATACATTTTATATTGTTTTGCATCTTTCCTATTGCTATAGCTTTGAGTACTAAGCAACTTTAGGATAATATCTTCAATAAAAGTACATTTAGCCCATGAGAGCACTAATAATATATGTATTAAGAAAGCAACATTTCCTAAGAAACATGCAGTTCCATTAACGTAGCACATTCTTTGAGCCCTTTATGCTTTCCAGCAGGATTCTGAAATGCCTTTATGATCCTGGGGCCTTTATTGCTATAGTTTCACCAAATAAGGCTTCACTGTCTCATAATTGTTACTCACAGTTTTGATGGACCCACATGGAATTTGTTGTATTCTAACACACAAATACAAATCTTATTTTAAAATGCCAATAAATACAAATACAGAATTTTGCATTGTGCAATACAAAAATACCTTTTCACAAAAGAATACAAAAGAGACAGGGGTTGCTAGGCAACCATCTAGCACGGACTCTAACATTGAGGTAACAAAGAGGCGACAGTACTGCCACCACCTGAAGCTTCTTGCTTAAAGCAACCAAAGGAAACTGACAGAGAGGAACTGAACTAGATAGCTCAGAACCACTGTCATTCTCCCAAAATTGTACGGGAGCAATTTTGGTTTACCAAATCAGTAAAATAAAGCTTATTTGGATTGTATCCAACTTCTCAAAATCGGGGGGCATTTGCTGAATTACTCTGAGTGATCTCTTCTGTGCACGCTGAAGAATATCCCACATGCAAACTTTGCTTTAAAGAGGTTCAATGGGAGGGAAAATGCCCCCAGATGAATGGTTTCAACTTTGTCTCCTCCCTTCAGTGAGTCCCAGACTCCCAAGCATCCATATCTGAGATTGGTTTCATGAGATTAAACTGTTTCAATTGTACAATATGATTGTTGAGAATTAGTTTAAGTGTTTAGCGTCCTGTGATATTTCCATCCCTTAACAGGGGACAGCCGCAAGGAAAGTGTCACAGAGAAATCTCGTAGGGTTGACTTTCAAACAGAGCAATCCCTGGGTAAGGAAAATAGAGCCTGCAAGACCATTATCCATTACTCCATCAACTACCCAGAGTGGTAGGTATAAGGATTATAATCTTTTAGGTCTTATTCGGTGCAGTGTACTAAACTAACAGTGTTTAGTTAAGTACATTAGTCTAGAGTGCAGCTCCCTGATTTAAATCCTGGTGCTACCAGTTTATAGCTGTGTGACCTTTGACAAGAAGCTTAAATCCCCTAAGCATCAACTGACTCATCTGTAAAAATGGGTTATCATATGTGTGTTAATAAAACAATGAATGTAAATCCATTTACATAGGCTCTGACGTAAAAATGATGCACCATAAATATTAACATTATTATGAAGACCAATAACAAAAAAGTTCCATCTTGTTTATTTAACTAAATGCTCTCAGAATAGTTATTATCTAAGTACCCAGTATAGGACTGTTTTGTTCCAGCATACATACAAGTAATGTGTACCCTACTTAGAAATGAATGAAATGGAACAAGAATATTAGAGTGGTGCTAGATGAATGTGATAAAAGGCTTATGTTTTCTAAGTATTCATCATCCTGCATCACCTGGGACCATGTTATTGTGGCAATGGTGATACAAACATCACCCCCTCAACAGAATAGCCTACATCTATCTTGGTCCTTTCTGAGTTCCTTGCTTTTATGTAGATCAAGACACATGGGATAAGGTATACTTAGGGCACCATAGAAAATCCATCTCTGGGCTACTATCTAAAAGAATATGTGTGGAAATACCATGAAGAAAATGTTATAGAAAGAAAATCAAGAAATACACTGGGGCTGAAGTGTCTCTAAGGTCTTTGCCACTGTTTATACATCTTAACTCCAGGTAGAACCCACCTAAGTTTATACATCTTAACTCCAGCTAGTACCCCTGGGTGCTTGGTGACAGCCCTCTGTGCCCTCTGGCCTGCTTCACACCTTCTCATTCATGACATTAACTTCCATATGCCCCATCATGATCACTGCTGGACCTTCTTCAAGATGACTTTCATGGTCTTTCATGAACAATGGTGTGCACATTGTTACCTACTTTAAATTCCCAACATACTTTTACTGCCAGCAATATAAGTGGGAAACTGTGAATTCTCTTCACAAATAAAGGGATTTCACCCTTACCCCTGGAGTGCTGCTGGCAGACAGCCCCCACCTGTCAGCACTACCCTACAGAGATTGCCTGGGCTAGAGAGAGCTGCCTCACCAAGGATCATGTCCCCACCCTGGGGAGCCAGAACTACTTGCAGAATGTGTGCAGAGTGGGCTATTCCCACTCTAGAACTCCTGGAGCAGCTGCTGAGACCTGCACTGAAACTATATCACAATTTAAAGTCTCCCTCCGCCCACCCTTTCTTCCTTCTATTCTCTTTGCTTTCCCTCCTTTTCTTTCTGTTCCTTCCCCTTCCCCAGATACTGATCTCGAAAGCACCCTGGATAGACTTCCAGAGATCTCAATCTCAGAGTCAGCTTCTTAGAAGATCAATCAGTGAGATGAGCATAACTCAGAAGTTACACCCATCATATCTCCCACCCAACCCACATAGATGTCACCAGCCAGCCACAATACAGCTTGCTCTAGATCAAATGTCCAATCCTGGTCCAATAAGCCATGATCCAAAGGCTAGGAAGAAATACAAGATAGGAAACATAATTTTCAGGACAGCAGAAGTTCTGGGCTACGTTTATTATGGATCTGAGGGAGTGCCAGGCTTGACATGTCTGGTACTTTCTCTCATCAATCCCAGGCTGGGTTTATCTCTTTCTTTCCACAATCTGTAGAAATCAATCTGCATCCTTTGCTCTTTGTAGCTTTCACCACCTCCCCTGCTTCTTGGAGATCCTTGCCTACTCAAGAACTTCCAGCATGAAAACATCTCTACTTTACTGCTGTCTAAAAAAAATATTTACTTTAGAGTTTGAGGGGTTTACTCCTAATCACCACAGGGAAACAGAAAGGAGATATGCAAAATATCAAATGCAATGAATTTGTGAAGAAGAGTTGTTCAAGTGATTTCTAGAAATTCAAGCTTGTGCTATTGCACTATTTAAAGAAATGCCTGCTATTTCTTACAAAATTTTAAATCACTTCCTCCTAATGTTAGTAATGACTATCTTTGTTAAGGACAAAGATTTTACCATTTTGCTATAAATAGTGTGTGTGCATTGTAAAAATTAAACTAATGCAAAAAAAGTCTAACAAAGAAGGAAAAAAAATACCTAAAATCCTACTGCCCATAACCATAGCTAACATTACATGAGTAATTTTTCGGGTTATCAATCTACTCATATGTCCAAAAAGAGCAACTAACTTTCACTAAAATAGAAGCATAATTACATGCTATTTTAAGTTAATTTTTTTTAATTTTACTTAGCCAAGGAAATGAAACAAGTGAAATTGAAGTAATTCCTGAGTATTAAATGTTTTTCCACCATATGAAGTATGTCCTAAGAGATTATTCTTAGGTCAAAGTGATTAAGCTTTATTTTTTTTTTTTAAAGATTTATTTATTTATTTATTTATTTATTTATTTATTTATTTATTTATTTATTTATGCATACAAGCACTGGGCACAGTCAGAAGCGCGGGAGGGTGAGAGAATTCACCAGAGCCAGAGCGGGGAGCAGAGCAGGCAGAAGGACCGAAGTACACTGCTGAGGGGAGCAGCAGGCGGCAGGAGAGGTCTGCGCGCCATGCGGGACCCTCCTCCTGTGGCCGGGGAGCAGCCGGGGATCGAACCAGCGCTGCAGAGGCTGCGGGCAGCTTTGCAACCCAGTGCTCAACAGCTGCGCCACCGGGGAGGCCCCCAAAGTGATTAAGCTTTAAACTGAAATAATTTCAGTTTGCCAAAGGGAACTGTGAGGGAGGAAGGAGACCATATCACCTTTGATCCCTCCTCACCCTTTGACTCAGTTTATATCATTCTTTTTACATTATCAAATTTAGCAAAAACTGTTCCCTGTTCCCTGATCTCTGTTTTTCCCCCTTTTCAAAGATAATACAGGTTTTAGCTGAGATTGAGACACTCCTGCAAAAGACTTCACATCCCTGCTTCCTTTTTAGGTAGCTGTAGCCATCTGACCAATTGTGGGCAACAAAATTGCCCACAGTTTTGTTGCTGGAGAAGTGATGTAGGCGATTTCTAGACTATGCTCTCTCTCGTACTCTTGCTTGGTCTCTTTCCTGCCTTTCCACAGATAGGGTAGCAGACAGGATGTTGACAGCTGAGCATGCATGGGAACATGAGATCAAAGCCACATTTTCTGATGAGCAAAGCAGTAGAAGCCTCTGTTCTCTGTACCCTGAGTCATCAAACTAGCACTGGATTGTCTAACTAGACTTTCATGTGAGAATTAAAATCATTTCAATTTTATTTAATCCAATTCATGGTCGGGTTTTTAGGCATGCTAAATGCATCCTAGCTAAAATCTCAACTTATCTATCCATGGACATAACATTAGTTATCTATCCTGAATCTATAATTACAGAGCTAGCTTCTCTTAGTTCCATTTTAAACTCATTCAATGCTCACTACTAGCCTTTTTACTGTAGTATCTCCATTCCTGAATTCTAAACATCTTTTTTTCTTTGTTTTTAATTTTGTTGGCTGGTGGAGTGGTGCATAGGTTTCCTACTGCTACTACAACAAATATCTACGACGTTGGCACTTAAAGCAAAACAATTTTTTTTTTATTTCATACATCAGGATGTCAAATTCCAAAATGTATTGTACTAGACTAAAATCAAGTTACTAACAGGGCTTTATTCCTCCTGAAGATTCTAGGAGATGATCTGTTTCCTTGTCTTCTCTAGTTCCTAGAGATACTCTGCATTACTTTTCTCATGGACCTTTCTTGATCATCAAAGGCAATAATAATATTATATATCTTGAAGACACGTGAGTTCAATCCCAAACCAGCACAACAAAACAAGTAGCACAATAAAGTGAGTCACATAAATTTTTGATTATCCGGTGCATAAAAAGCTATGTTGATACTATACTGTAGTCTATTAAGTGTATAATAGCATCATGTCTAAAAAAAAGTACATACCTTAAATAAATGTGGCACTAAGACACGAAGTAAGCTCATACATGTGTTGGAAAAACAGTGCCGACAGACTTGCTTGACAGAGGGTTGCCACAAACCTTTGTA